TGATCTCGTACGATTCCGGTGAAAAGGGGCTAAGCTTTCGTCCGTCCTATGACGGACGGGGTACCATCGTCACAATCAAATTGAAGCTTACGAGTCAAGAAAACTCACCGGCAAATCCCTAAAAAGTGGCCTATTTGATCAAGTATAAGGTGATTTTGTTAGTTAAGGTCATATGTCAACTTCTATGCATGTGAGTGTGTCTGTCTCTGTATTTGTATGTGCATGTTTGTGTTCACTTATTCAGAAAACCCGAAGTAATGGCTCAAAATAATTAGAAAAACAAAAAGGAACGTATGTTTTTGGCCTCGCTCTGATGATATCCGTCATTTGATGGACGAAAGCTTAGCACCTTTTCACCGGAGACTAACCTCGGAAACAGCGTCAGCATGAATGTTCCAGTAGAGCCAATCGACAGCTGGTCAAGAGGAATCGGCCGTCGTCTTCTGGTGCGACCGACCTTCGAATCTCTTCACCCCCAACACTTCCACTCGAAATGGAAGTAATCCCAACAACTATGAATTTGGTCGTGCGTTATCCAGCATCTCTAGCGTCGTCTAGCGTGACCAGCTTCGTAAAATTTTCTCGAGCGTCTTCAGGCGACACCAAACGTCTTTGAGTGTTTTCGAGCGTCTTTGACCATCGCAGAGCGTCAGTGAGTGTCGTTGCTTGTCTTGCTGGGTCACTGGGTCGGAAACCCCGTCGCCAAGGACGGTTTAACGAGCCTCGAAGGTGACGAGGCCGAAGAGGGGATGCGAAGCGGACACGGTCAAGCAGTCGCGTATTCGAGCCCAAGCCTAACCTGACCCTCGCCTCGACACTCCTACCTCAACGACGCCAGTCACCATCGTAACGGGCTGTTGTGCCTGGATTCGATTCACAAAAAAACGTGATGAGGCGGACGAAGATTGTGTCCGAGACAGAAAAGAAAATTTTGTGAAGGCTGTCACTTTGTATGGAGGCACATGATGAAGAGATTCGCAGGTCAATCTCACCAGAAGACGCCGACGGATTCGCGGTGTAAAGCAGGCGTTTGGCTTGACTACGACCTTCCGGTTGACGCAGTCCACGAGACATCCTTCCAC